GGAGACCAACTAGTTCGACATCTGGTAATCTAATTGATGTACATTCCTTGTCGGTGTACTCAAGTTTTCACTATCTAATAACTTCAGGTCACCCTAATGGCTTTCTTCGCATAGAAAAATATTCGTGGGAAAACATTTGGTTCTTTGCGATGGTAAACTTTACATTTTCTGTTATGACGTACAGGTCGTATTGATTAATATTTACTATTTGGATAAATATTTTTATGCGTTTAGTTTTCGCAAAGCTTTGACAACCGGGACTGAGCGAAAATCGAACACTGTCGAAAATACGTGGCACTGTGGAAGAAATGCCTCGATTTTTCCACATTTTACCGTATTAAGCGGTTACTTAGAAAATTTGACCTCGACTCCAAATCACGTTCCGTGATGGACTTAAAATGAAATACACTGTCTGCACAACTAATTTGATCGAGCGACACCTGAACTCGTTCCCAGAGGTTTGGGTTTTACTCCACATCGCTATAAGGCTGGTTTTCACCAGGGCACAAGCTTAAAAGTAATCAACATACGCAAATGCAGAAATGTGCTGTTAATTAGCATCTTTTGTTGAGAAATTGCCCAAACGAAAGGCCCTAATTATCGAAATATTTCTACCTCTGTAAATGCCGGCTTATTCTTACCATATGCTTATGCGCTAGTGAAAACGACGCCTTGCATTTCTTGATCCAAATTCTTTTTTAATTAACGGATAAGATCATACTGACTGTGTTCAACATCTTTCCTAAGTTCTGATGAACGCAGATCTAATCTATACTGTAGAATAGGAGACTGGGGGGTTTTCTGGTCAGATGTGACATTTGAGAGAGGGGTGGTTGGGTGGGTATTTGATTTATTCAGCTCGAGGGTCAATAAGTTACAATTACATCAGATTTTAAGGGGCGCGGTTGCTTTATGGTTAGGATGCTAGACTACCCCACACCCTTCCCCATCAGGGACATTGTGTTGTGTTCTTGGACAAGACACTCTAATCTCGCAGTGCCTCTCTCCACCCAGGTTGTGCGTCATCGTGATTTTAAGACGTGTAAATATTGTAAATATAGGTCAGGTTCCTATAAGGTCAGTAGTTTTTAAATTTTTATTTATTATCCCATTGTTATTAGGTCTTTCTCTTATTTATACACGACCCCATAAGCTTTTAGCTTTTAAATTCATCGTGTTGAAATAAAGGCTTCCTATCCTACCCTATCGTATCGTATCGTATCGTATCGTATCGTATCGTATCGTATCGTATCGTATCATATCGTATCGTATCGTATCCTGTCCTTTCCTAAATAAACGAGTACCGGCGGATTCATTGCGGCGGATAACCCTGCGATGAGCTTGCATACCATCCAAGGGGGGAGTAGAGATACTTCTAGTGACCTCATGCAACGGAAACCGGAGATAGGCGCCGCCCTGCCTGAGAGGCCGCTGGGTTTGGACGCAGACATTACTTTGCTTTCATATCACATTTTTTTTTTTTTTTAGATATCACGATGATCGTTGAAACCTCGGATTCCGCTTTTGCGGGCACAGATGCTGAAATAAGGATCAAAGTCTTTGGAACCAAAGGCAACGTACCGGAAAGGAAAATTTCAGGCAGTTTTAAAATAGGAAGGTAAAGTACATTCATTATTTGAAATATATTTGTCACCGTTTTACTAATTGGTGACACTGTAAATTAATAACCAAATATTGCAAAAAGAGAACATAAACTATTAAGAATTCGAACTGCTTGGAGGTTGACAAGTTTTTTTATTTGCACAACGCAGTCGAGGAGTTTCAAAAACTCCGGACCTTCTAGCTATAGGTAGAGGATTTAACCAGGGACCTCAGTCCAAATTTCAAATCTATCGCCTTAAACCAGTCGGCCACACCACCTCCTAGTATATCATCTGAAGGGGGCTTGGTCTTCCCCGAACAGTGTGATGATCTGAGTACCACCCTCCTTTAAATCTGACTATTCTCTCTCCTTATAGCGAAGACACAATTATCATCAGAGGCTACGACATAGGTCACGTGACAGGAATGGCAATTATTCGTAACAATGCTGGTTTTGGGCCTAAATGGAGACTTGAAAAGGTAACTATGGCAACTGGCGAGTTAGCTATATACAATTAGACTCCCAGCGAAAAACAGTTCCTTTGGGTCAAGAGGAAAAACACCCGAGGCTGTTAGACAGTGCCGCGAGAGAATGAAGCTTAAGAGTAAGAGAGCTTATCGCTTATATATAGGCCTTGTTCCCAAGATGATCCTTCTCAAGTTATTTTTAGACTTTCCGTGCAGAACGAAAATAGGCCCTTTGCAGCTGGGGTCACGTGACCACATTTTTCCTAGAAAATTTTTATATTATGGGCTATAACTTAAAGAATGCCAGAAATGGAAAGAGCGCATAGAAAATACCAAAATGGCCAAGTTTGAGGCCCCTGGAATTAAAGAGTAGGTTTACACCACAGTTTGAATTTTCGGAAAATTTAGAGGATTTGTATCGAAAATGTTGCTGGAGAGCAAGGTCTTGCTCTCCAGCAACTTTTTCCATACAAATCTTCTTATTCTTTTAAAAATTCGGAACGTCATAAAATCTCTTTCTTTAATGATGGGGGCCTCAAACTTGGCCATTTTGATATTTTCGACATGCTTTTTCCATTTCTAGCATTCGTTAAGTTATAGCCCATAATTTTATGAAAAATAGGTCACGTGATGGCTTAGCTGCAAAGGGCCTATTGTTGTAAAGGATTGTCTATTTCTAAACCCTCAAGCGATTTCCGAAATTGGAAGTGATCTAAAAAAAAGCGTGAGAGGGACTACTTTGAGACTAGGGAGTTTAAGCAAATCATTACGGCTGGTGCTGCTACGGCTGCCGTGACTGAAAGGTCTGGGAAGAGTACGTCTCGGTGGTCTGCCAAATTTTAAGTTTAGCGAGTAAAGCGAAAGACAAAGATTAAAGAAACATCGGATAAGGAGTTAAAAACTCTTTTATTTAGTTTCTCACAGCCAAATGGCTTCGCTCAAAGGACGATGGCCGTTATTCGCCTTCCTAGGACGAACAGATTATTTCTGAGCGAAAGCGAATGCCATACACTTTGTACTATAACAGTCTGATGGATGAAATATATAATTTCAGAGACAAATAATTCAAAGAATATCGAGTGAAGAA